AAGAGAAGAGAAGAGAAGAGAAGATTGAAAGATCTGTCTGCATTGGAGTAGAGAATTCGATGATGCACTGTGTATGCATTTATATTGGGAATTGGGAATTGGGAAATATAAAGATGAGAGATGAGAGATGAGAGATGAATCAAATCGAATCGAATAGAATGGCTCACGATATGAATATGAATAAGAATATGAAGCTATGAGTTTTTTTGGGGGGGTTTCTTTGACCTAGCCATGTGTCTTGACTTTTCGGTGGTTGTTTAGATTGTGTTGTGTTGTGTATTTTTATATGCTAACACATGCTAACATGTACAAACATATGCAAAGGTATTCATGATATCATCTAGAAACCTCTAAACATCTTTCTCTTTCTCTCAAATTCATCTCACTCGACTCATTTTCATTTTCCTGATCTTCAAAAAAATCAGCACAATCCATACATCACCCCAACCCCATCCATCCTCCCTCAAAACACCGAAACAAACTCACCGATCCAACCTAACCTAACCTAACCTAACCAACCAACCCCGGCCACTGCTCCTTCAAAAACTCCACCACAGCATCCGGACCCTTTTCAATCTGTAATCCATGAGGAATAGCCATTGTTTTAATACCCGGCTTTGTGGATTTGGCTATGGATTGAATCTCATCGGCTTCTTCGATGGTCCACATTGAGGCTACGAACTAGTGGACGGGGGGTTAGTGTTAGTTGTGTAGTTTGATATAGGGAGGAGGGAGGTGATGGGAAGAATGAATGAATGGTTGGGGGAGAGTTGGATATTTACTAGGACGTCGGGTTGTTGCTGTTCGATCATGGTTTTTACATCTTCTATTCCTTTGAAGGTTGTTAGCTAGTATTGATGTTTGGGTTTGCAAGGAAAGGACCAAGATATCTCCTGGTTGCATTCGCGTGCCCTCTTTTCGACTCCTAATACGAAATTATGATAGGAATTTTGAATGTTTTGAGGATCCGTAGACTATAGACTATAGACTGTGAACTTGTGAAACTTCACTCAACATTCATTGTCTATCAGACTTCGATTTGGCAGCTCTTCAAGCCGGACTATCCATCACAACCCACGACTCATAACCCACAAATAACCATTCCCTCCCTCCTTCCCCAAGATATCTAACCTCGACTTTCTCCTCATCAACGAACAAATAGAGCAAACCCCATAGGAATCCAACTCACGTTCAGCGTTCTTAAAATATTCAATGGTATATTCCTCCTTCACATCTTCGATCACTCTTCCGATGAGAATCTTTGCTCGGGCTGGAACTTTGTTTACCGTAACGAGCTTGTATGGGCCTTTTGGTGCCATCTTAAATTAATGTCTCAGGAGAGATGGGCAATAGGCAATGGTGATGATGTAAAATGTATATGTTTTGATACCAATGTAATGAATGAATGAATGAATGAATGAATGAATGAGAGAGATTTAAGCAAGAGAAAACTTACGAATACATGACCTTACCAATGTATCCCGACGTCGGAATCATAATCGAAGTCAGGAGATTAGGATGGGGATGGGTAAATGGTGGACGGTGTGGAGTGTGGGGAGTGTGGGGATTTTCGAAGTGGTATGAGGTTAAGAATGAAGATAAGGGGCACGAGTGTGTGAGTGTGGGAGTGTGGGGACAGGGATTTATTTTTGGATGTTGGTGATAGTGATACTACCTAGATCATAAACATAAATACAACAATATCAATCAATATACATCTCACTGGTGTTTGAGAATTAGTTGAACAAGATACTCAGTTAGGCTATTGGGGAAGATTCGGGATTTTAACGATTGATGAAGGGGTAAATTTTGAGAAGAAATATTATTGTTGGGGATTTGAACAACAAACACAAACAAATCAATTTCTGAGTACTCATACAACATCTGTTCAACAGTACATCAAACACTAGAGCGAAAAACTTCCATTTGGACCTCTACTTACGATTCTAGCCAAGAACCTGGCTTGATCATTGTACAGCCGCCGCGGCGTATGATATGACTTTCTCAGCTCAAACACATTTACACTTGTTCACTGTTCAATCTATTCTCAATTGACTCTCTCTATGAAACAATTCACGAATTAACCACGAAATGTACAAGCAAGTCCTCGAATGTGCTCAGTAGTCCATCCATCGGCTGTACAACCGAAGTCGTATAATTCTACAAGTACTCGTACAATCCACCGAATATCAATCATTCGAAAGATCTTCCATCATCCTTATAGGAAAAACATCTCGCAAACCGGCGAATAGATATATATATATATGTATATTACTCCAGCATGTTATACAACGAATGTGGTACCAATCCCACAAATTCACCAATTCTAATCATTCTAAAGCTTCTTTACGAATTCCCCATCTTACTCGAGTACAGAATGTTCATCTCGCAAGTCCCCGAATCTCCGAAACGCCACGCATTACTGTAAGGTTATTTTCTACATTACTCAAGTCACTTCTCATGATCATGTACCCTCGTACCTATCTCCCTTCTAAGTTCTCACCGTATCATCCACCATCATTCACCAATATGCGAATGTGACAGGCCGAGAAGAGAGCCAAGGCGAATTCATTTAATCTGCATAGGGCAAGACATTCTTCATTTCACAGGATTGTAACCCCATTACTCCGATCCGTACCTCCTATCACCATTCCACCTATCGGGCATCATCCCCTAACAAATTCCCGCCCTCCCCGTAACTATTCATCAGCATTCCAAATGGTGCAGTAACATCCTCGCCGACAATGAAGGATGCTTGGGCCCTAGGGGTTATCTTTTTTGACGCTTACTCTGCTTACTCGGGGACCTGAAACCCGGCTACCCATCTCCCGAGATCTCGGGAATCTCACTTACGATCCTTCGAGAAAATCTTCCTCGTTTCTACTTTCCTTTATACACTTTTTTGAAACTCCTCAATTTCCATAATTAGCTCTTTCTTGATATAACTTCTAAACAATAGGGGTTCATGGAAGGATTCCATGATCTATCATCCCTTCGAGAATAAGATCCACGCAACGCCGGGCTTTTCTTCCCTTCCCTTCCTTTGTTAAGATTAGGGGAAACAACATAATCGCCGACCTCAAGTTTTTTAGATGGGGCTGGCTTTCTTCGTTATTTCTTGGATACATTCAAAGTACCGGTGAGAGAACAAGATGACTATTGATCAAACAAAGAAAGGTAGGAAGATACTAGGTACCTCGTAAGTACCAATGTGTAATAGTTAGCGATAATGTACGGATATATGACATGTTCATGCACAAAATCTCATCATTTCAAAGTCTTTTCTTATATTTGTGGAGAGTTTGCGAATGCGAAAGTAAAGAAAAGACCAAGTGGTGGAAAGGCAAGGCAAGGAGGCAAGGAGGTGGTGAAAATTGAAGTGAATAAAGAAATGGATCAAAGTTTTTATTCATTCATATCATTCATATTCATTTCATTTTGCATGTTAGAAAGAAAGTGAATCATTCTCATTATTATTATCATATGATTATGACCCAATTTCTCCAATATGCTCGCGGTATCAAAGTTGCTACTTCCCACATGTCAAAATACTAGTACCAAAGATTCAAGACGCTATGATATGCTATGAAAGAAAGACACCCATTCATCTAGTTTCTTAGTTGAACTTAGAATTTTAGTTCATGAAGATCTTTATTTCAAGTACATACATACATGTACATAAGAATTCCTTTCTCGATATTCAAAGATGGTCATCATTGAGGATCAAACACTCGCCATGATTTCAATTTCGACAACGGGAGCAAGATCGGTATTGAGTGGTGCACTATTTGGTGCAGCACTTACTGCGGCTGGGGTTTATTCCCCTACGGTTATTATATCACAGATGAAATTGGAATCGTTTCATATGCTGAAAGTATTTCTATCAGCCAGTGCTACGAGCGCGTAGGTTTCTCCTTTCCTCGTCTTCAAGTTCATCATGATAATCTTACAATACATTATCTAACAATCACTCAGTGCAATATTCCTCCTCGCTCATCGTCTATCGCCGGCTCTTGCTCCTCCCCGCCAACCATCTTCTCTATCCCTTTTCCCCTACGATGGAAATCTCATCGGAGGACTCCTCCTCGGTATCGGCATGGCTCTTACCGGAGCATGTCCTGGTACCGTTCTTCCACAAATCGTCACCGGATATCGATCCGGATATTTCGCTTTCATCGGTGGTGTCATCGGAGGAATCCTCTATTCGAAAATCCGCCCCTTAATCCGTCGCTCATCACCCACCTGTTCAACCCCCTCATCATCAGCAGGTCCCCCTTCCATCAACGATCCCAAACCCACCCTCTATCAAAAACTCGACCCCAAGGCCGACGAAATAAAAGCCGTATACATATATCAGAATTTCTGCTGGGGAATCATTCTTCTCGCCTCTTGGCTTTCCAAATCACAAGAGCAGAGTTTTCTACGTCCTACTTGGGGAGGGATTTGTATTGGGGGTGCACAGGGAGCTAGTCTGTGGTTGACGGGCAATACGTTGGGGACCAGTGCGGCGTATGAACAGGTGGGGGATTTATTTTGGTGGGGGGTTGAGAGGATGAGGGGTGTTGATGGTACTTTTTTGACTTTGATGACGGGCCTGAAAGGTTATGAAAATGGGAATGGGAATGGGCATGCGGATGCGAATGCACTCGCAAACGGAAACGGAAACGGAAACAGCGCACTAAAATCCCCCCCTCCATCAACCTCAACCCCAACCCCAACCCCAACCCCCAAACCTCGTCCCTCAATCCGCGCAAACCTTTTCACCCTCGGTATTCTTCTGGGCTCCTATCTCCTCTCCCAAACCCTTACTCTTCCTCTTCCATCTTCCTCTTCCCCCTCACCAATCTCCATCCCCATCCCACACGCACTTCTAGGCGGGATAGCCATGGTACTCGGTGCTCGGATCGCAGGTGGCTGTACGAGTGGACATGGAATTAGTGGCATGAGTTTGTTGAGTGTTAGTAGTATTGTTAGTGTGGGGGCTATGTTTGGGGGTGGGATTGTGTGGGGAAGTTTGGGGGGGTGAGGTGAGGTGGGGTTTGTGGTTTGGGGAGAGAGGGATAGAATTTGGGGAGGGGAGGGAGGAGGGGTGCATGGTGGGTGATGGAAGGGGTTGGGGATGAGTGTGGATTGCTTGCTTGCTTTCTTGCTTATTCTCTTGTTTGCTTGGATGATTATTTAAATAGGTGAAGAATGGACATGGTGCGATATGATGGGATGGAATGAAGGGGATACAATAGATAAATATATGCAGAGAGTTGGAGTGGTTATACCCCATTTGCTACATCTGCTACTTTACCACTTTTACCACTTTTACTACTTTCACCACTATCACCATTTGATTACTTCCTTTTGCTTTTACTTTCGTTAGCTTTAAAGCATATTAGCGATCCATCAATGAATAAATGAAAGATGCTCATTAACGACTATATAAAATGGGTCCTGGGCTGTAATCTAGATTAGTTGAGAATAGCCTCGGACACGGACTGGATGGAACTCGGCGGGGATTTTCTATATTTTATATACACTGTGTCATTTATCTTTTAAATTTCCAAGTTGATATTCTATATTTTAGAGTCTGTACTCACCACTAGCAATATTACTCTAGTAGATGATAAATTTCTTACTCCCTTCCTCCCCTCTTCTCTCTTCTCTCTTCTCTCTTTTTACTCCCCTTCTCCCTTCTCGCCCCCTTCTCATCCCTTAAGAAAACAAAATACAATTCCTCCTACTCCACTCCTTCTCCTCCTCCACTCCTCCTCCTACTCCACTCCTCCTCTTCTTCCCTTCACGCCTTCCTACTACGCTCCCCTTCCCCCATAAAATGCATAAACATAAATTCTCAGCTCGTAATTAGAGAATTGATCTATGATCTTTTTTTCTATTGTTTGTTATTGTCTAAATTGCCTTTGCTACTTCACTAAAGTTATCTACTACAGTATTATCTCTTTACTTCCTCTCCACACCCTCTTTACTTCCCTTTCACTTCATATCCTACTTCATTTTATATATACCTTCACTTCACTTCTCCTTTACTTCGTGTTTACTATCCTCTCCGTATACCCTCTTCTCATCCCACACCCCCTTATCCCTCATCCCTCATCCCGCCGTATCTTTGCCCCCTCTTATCATATCATACATATCATATCAAAATATCATTTACATTACCATACCACCCTACCACCTTACGACCTGTATATAAAGAAGTATATATGTATGATCTATCATTTTTCTCACCTCCTGTTCACCCTTCCATCCTCTCACCTCACTTTCCCCCCCCCGTCTCTTCCTCCTATCCCCTTTCCTTCCCTCCCTTCCTTTTATCTCCTTCCAATCCCCTCACCTCAACCACCCTTCCTTCTATCTCCTCTCCTTCTGTTCTAAAGCACTCAGTCCTAAAGAAATCCAGAAACCCCCAATAATCTCCACAGCATTGTATTGCATTGTATTGCATTGCAATGCATTTCAATCTACTCGAGTAATTCAAGCGTGATATAACGTAATCTACAGTAAACTAAACTAAACTAATTTACAAGTTATAAGTCAAAAGCTATAACTCACAACTCACAACTCATAACCCAAATGAAAATAAAACGATATGTGTATTTGACTATTAATATAAATATACAAAGATGCATGAGTGGATAAATATACACCTAGTTATATATACATATATAAAGTGTGACGATATAAATAACAAGGTGAATAAATGAATAGGTGGAAAAGCAACTTATAAATCTACTCGAGTATATCAATCTGGAACATAGTCGGGACTCGGGAGTAGGGGGGAAATCGAGTTTCAATGGTTTGTAAATGGTAGGATGGGGTTTGTAGTATAATGCAATCATATTACGGGAGCGCGTATACGCATCCACAAGGAGAAGTGATCTGATGAGTGTCTATTTGATGTTTTGCTACGATGCTGTAATGCTGCAATACTGTGATGCTGCGATACTTAATGCTATAAGGCCCAATGCAATAAGGCTCAACGCTAATATACCTTTGGATACCGAAAAGACCACCCACACATTCTCAACCCTCCAAAAGTTTACCAGGTTTCTCATCCCCTATCAGCTTTTTCAATGCCTCCACCGTAATCTCCAACACTTCCTGACTTCTCGATTTTTTCAAGCATTCCTTGAGAGCCTCCAATCCACCATTCTCCTTAACCTTTTCTAATCCCCATTCTCCGACTTTGTTGGGTGCTGTCAATACATTGAGTATGCAAGTTACACCTCTATGCCTCATCTCTTCCTCATCCTCATTACACATTCCTAATAAAAGAGCCACTCCCCTGTCCCTCTCTAGAATAGCATTCACGGCACTATCCCATTCCGTAAGACTTGCTAATGCTCCTCCTGCGGCTCTTCGTGTGGCGAAGTCCTCGGCATCGGCTAATGCTAATAGAATATGCGTACGATGCGAAGCTTGTTTGCTACCATCTGCAAATTTCGCGACTCCTTGAGGGGATTGCATAAGGTTACAAATAAGCTCCACTGTTGCACGAGTCACCATCTTGTTGTTGGACAAAAGTAGTTCCTCAATCCGAGACCAAGCCAGGCGTATGATTGGGTTACGGGCCGAGTCGTCCGTCGAAGCGAGGTTTGTCAAAGCCAGAAGAGATTCGAAGACGGGTAGGAGATCGCGGTGTTCAACTGTTGGGTCATCCTCCAAGAGAAGCAGAAGAGGTTTGATGGCTGAAACAAGTGACAAAGGATTTGTGCCACCAAATACATGTTGTGGATTGGTTGATATGAGGATACGAGCGAGAGCATGAGCTGTGGTTCTTTGAGCTGGTACATTATCCGAGGGGAAGATAGTATACGCGTGTATTAGAAGTTTGATGGCACCTTGCTGAGCCATCCGCCCCCGGATTTTGGGTGATTTAGACAGTGAGAAGATGATAGATATGACAAGAGTAAGAGAAGCTACTGAACCATGCTGACTATGGGTGACGAGAACAGGTATAACCCCGGCTTCGAATACATGTTGACATCGCTTAGCAACGTGATCATCGTCATTGAGAGGATCCGGTTTGAGTGCGGATTTCGAAGCATTGGCATAAGCTTTGAGTTGACCTAACTTCTTTTGTTCTTCTGTTAAGGGAGGCTGATAGTTGGTAAGATTAGCAAGGATGGTAAGTGCTCCATATGTTGCTGGTGATTTGGGTGGGGCATCGTTCAAAGCTTTAATAAGGTTGACCAAAAACTCTTCATCTGAAGCCAACTTCTCCTTGACTTTGGGTTGTAGCGAAGCATAAGCAAGACCTTCGATCGAACTTTGCTGAGAGGTATCCGTAGAAAGCATTTTTTTAAACATGTCTGAAAGATCCTCAATAGTTGTACTGGCAGGCTGATTTCGTTCTCCGGATTCGGCGTTTGGTGTTGAAGGGATAGCCTTCACTTCTAAGGTCAGTCAGAATAATTGACTAAAGAGAGAGCCATTTTCCTATATAAAGAGAGGGAAACAAGCGGGTATATAACCATGGGAATTCATACCTGAATTTTGGCCAGGACAACAGCTGCAAGATTTCTGACTTGCTCGGAATGTATCCTCTGCTGTATGGAGCCATCTTCCGCGTTGCTGTCAAGATCTGACGAGGAGATTTCGGAAACTTTAGGTGGAGCATTGTTGACAATCTCCTCAAGCCACTTTGTACAATGCTTCTGGATAGCTTCTCGACAAGGAGTGTTCATACACGCAGCACTGAGCAGCTCGAGAGCAGCCTGTTCAACCTTTCGACTCTTCCATTTCCTCTTCATCAATGCACCAAGACTAGGAATGAAACCTTCACTAAGGAAGAATGAAGCAATGACATCTGGAACGATGGGGAATATCGATGCCGCAACGGAAAATGCAAGAATCAAATCATCATATGTGCCTTTGGCTACACGATCATAAAAGAAATGGGAAAGGTAGTCAACGCCCTGCTGCTCCGAAGCTTTGAGATATGCAGATGTAGTTAATGTCGCGTGACCTCGAGCTGACGGAGATTGCCTCATATCAAGGTATCCCAAAATAGTTTCCAGGATATCCTGATCGACCAATTGAAAAAGAGGTTTATGTGGCTCATTTGATCTTGTTGCCTCGGAAGAATCATCAGTGAGTAATTTGGTGAGAGTGTTTAACTCCCTGCATGTATCTTCATCCTCTTGTCCACCTTCGGTTAAACGGGCAAGTAAGAGAAGTGTCTGATCCTCAAGGGAATCATTTGCGGCGGTTGTAGTATGAGGAACACTTGGATCAGTGCCTCGTCTTTCAAAGGATCGATCAAATGAATCTGACATGATTGTTGGAGAGTATTACATGTAAGTAATTGACTTTTAATATGATAATGAAAATGAAAATGGAGGTGATCAATATCAATATCAATATCAATATGTAATGTAATGAATGTAATAAGTAAGAAGAGGGGAAAGGGAAAGTCAAAATTAGAATAAACCAATGCTCACTCCATCCCTTCCCATCTTGTGAAACCAGAACCCCACATTCTGAGTAAATATATATATCACATGATCAGGCGACAAGCAAGGGCCTTACCCGGGAACCCGCATTATTACCCGCATGAAGATATTCCAGCCTTATTCCTTATTCTCAATTCTCTCAGCCTTTACACATAGGAATCTTATATATATTCAATACTAGGTATCAACTAACAATTATACTGAACGAGTTAACCAACAAACAAGTAGATTTGAACTCCAAGTCTATCAGGTTGTGTCGTCATGCCTATAAGACTTTCATCATGGATGGTATAGATGGTACAGATCATTTCACAGGAGGCGTTGAAGGTATGACCGTAGACATTTACCCGCATATATCTTGCACCAATATATGATATCTCTAACGTTATTGTAGGTCCTTCACCTTCGTGCCTCGTCATTGTCCTCGACACCAATCCTCACGCCTGGGCACTCCTTTCATCCACCCTCTCTCTCTCCAAAACCATAGCCAATCTCCTCGTTTTCATAAATGCGCACCTCGCCGTCAATAATGCAAATCAAGTAGCTATAGTAGCTAGTCACTGCCACCGCGCAGTATGGCTCTATCCAGCACCACCCTCCGCTTCAGGAGATACAGAAATGGGTGGTTCAACCACTCAAGCCCCTCCCGACGATGCCAACAAATACCGACAATTTGCACTCATCGAAAACACCCTCCTAAATTCCCTCCGCAACCTAATATCCACCACGACCGAGCAAGAAGTATCCAGCACAACCACCACCCAAATGGCCGGAGCCCTCACCCTGGCCCTCTCCTATATAAACAAGCAATGCTTAGCCTACAGCGACGTTTCCGCCTCCCCCTCCAAACCCACCACCTCGGCCATCAGCACCTTTGAACCCACCGCCGGTCTCCAATCACGAATTCTCGTGCTCTCGGTATCTGGCGACCTCGCGCACCAATACATTCCCATAATGAACACCACATTCGCCGCACAACGCATGCGAATCCCCATTGACATATTAAAGCTCGCCGGCGACACGGTATTTTTACAACAAGCGAGCGATACTACCAGGGGAATATATATGCACCTGAAGCACCCCCAAGGGTTATTACAATATCTAATGATGGCATTTCTACCCGATCAACAGAGTAGGAAAGATTTAATAGCGCCAACGCAGGAAGTGGTAGATTTTAGAGCGGCGTGCTTTTGTCATAGAAAGGTTGTCGATGTAGGCTTTGTGTGTAGTATATGCTTAAGTAGTATGTGCTCCCATATATCTATCCATTCATCCATAACCACCTCACTTTTTCCCGCTCATCCCCTTCATCCCGCCCCACACTCTCTTAATCCCCACCATTCACCATTCCTACCATCTCTCCCTACCTCTCTCCCTCCCCCTTCCCCCTTCCTCCTTCCACCCAACCCCAAAACCCACCAACCAACTAACATCCTCCCCCCCCTCTCTCTTAGTATTCTGTTCACCTCCCGAAGGCGCCATCTGTCTAACCTGTTCCACGCACCTCTCACTCGGAGACTATGGCTCTAAGCCCGCCGTCGTGCCACGAAAGAAGAAGAAGAAGCGGAAGATAAATATCAATGGAGGAGGTGCGGAGACTGGTAGTGCTGTGGGGACACCTGTGCCTGGAGAATGAATGAAATAGTTTAGATGCGTCGTAGTACACTACTCACCCAAAAAAATGTTTCGGAGTTTAGAAATGCTGGATTATGGGAAAATGGTGGCATTTACAACAAATATGGTATATCATATGGGTAGGAGTAATATCGAATTTTCTCGGTCTACACATACGGATAAAATCACTAGGATAATATTGGTATATCTCGATCAAGAGTAATTTTTAGGTTTTATTAGGTTATCGGATGAGGTTTGCCTAACGGCATAGCAATAGAGCTAAGCTATGATATCATCTCTATCCATCTTTCCCTCTCCCATACCTACCATCTGATTTCCAAGCGGAAAGTGTTCGGTTAAGGGTAATGTTCTTCGTTCTAGTAATAAACTCTCCCTCCCATTCTTTCTTCGACGCGATTCAATTCATAATCATAATTTCATAAGCTCCCTTTGTCGTCAAAGCAATATCCCATTCGTGTGTAACGTAATTGCGCAAGTCAAGAAAATTAATGATGAAGCCAAACAACTCAACCACTTGAGTCTTGCAACTCAAAGGAGAAGACTGGTAATCCGTGTGAGGCGTGAGTCTGGAAGTCAATCTTTGTCAATTCTTACCTTTCGGCCTCCTCGGACGATGTTGCCATGATCTCCGAGACGGGACATGACACATTTGGCATCTTTCTCATTTGAAGCGTAAGATGCCAAGGCAAATGAGTCTGTGTTATGGGCGAAGTGAAGAAAGTATCCATACGCTGTCTTCTTGACAGCCATGACACCGATCGCACCGGCAGAGTTACTACCACAGACACCAGGATGTCCCATGAAATCAGCTTGAACAAATGATTCCATAGCTTCATCTTCGTTAGCTTCCATGTCTTGACCACCACGAGCTCGTCTGGTGTTGTGGTAAAGTCTGTCAGCACATTTCTGTGAAGCCATGGTAGTTGCCATATGCTCTCCCGTGCCACTGGTAACCGCAGCAACTGATATCTGATCTTCATCTTTCTCGTCGCAAGGAACCACAGCGGTACCGATGCCTACGAGAGCAGCAGGACCAACACGGCCACGATGTTTCATCCCAATTCCACCTGAAGAAGATGCTGCAGCAATACGACCATACATGTCAATAGCAATAGCTCCAACGGTATCAGTGATCAAATCCACGTCTTCCTTTTGGAGATTAGGTTCTGGAGTAGACTCATGAGGACCTTCGATTGTTCCCTCTTGGGCGAGATCCAATGGCGCGGCATACATCTCAATGACTTTGTCCTGATCTGTTGGCGAGAATTGACCGTCTGTACTTGATGGCCTCTCTATAGTAGACGCTCCAGTCGTTAAAGATACATTTGGCTCGCTGAACATGCCGCTAGTAGTAATGCTCGGGGATAGAAGAGAATGAACACGTCCCGGGCTTCCATCACTAAGTGCTGCAAGTCGTGCACGTTTTGCGGGTGTGGTGCTAACTGGAGAGCGAGAAGCTCCACGGCCTGGTGTGCTCATTTGAAAGTAGCCTCGGCTAGGAGGAGTACCTGGACGTGGCGAATATGGACCGCATTCTTGAGGACATGCTCGGCCTGGGGATGATGTTGAAGGAGAATCAGGCTGCCCTTCATTCCACGTGCCGGTCATAAGTGCGTTGGTATGGTCTCGACGTTGTTTTGCTCTCACACGTTCCTCATATTCCCGAACGGCAACTTCGTCATCGGCAGCTTGGCTGCTATGTGCACTTGTTGGTGTCATGCGACCACCCTCAGCACGACGCAAATCTTCACGCCAACGAATATATCTTTCGCGAGCATTTTTAGAGCACATCATATCATGTGGTACTATTGGTATGCCGTGTTCCCACGCGAAGTCCGTCGCTCCTTGGCCGACGAGAAGGTTGGGCGGGACTCTTCTTAAAGACAATGGTCGACTCGAGGCTTCCAAGATCAATCGGGCCAGACTGACAGGGTTCTTGATTTCTAAAAGTGAAAAGTCAGTCCGTGGAGATCAAAGTGGACAGAAATCTCTTGACTTACGGGCGGTTGCGCCGCAGGCACCACTTCTCCCCAAATGATCTACTACTGTTGCATCACATTCAACGATACCTTCAATTGATAAATTACTGCCATATCCAGCATTAGTAATTTCCTTATCTTCAAGAACTTTGATGGCAGCTTCGACTGCATCAACAGCTGAGCCGCCCGCTTTGAGGATTCGCATCGCTGCGCGAGCAGCACTAAACAAAGGTCAGCCAAGGTTTCACATCCCTCAAAGAACTGTCGAGGGTTCAGTTTTGAATTCAGTCAACATACTCGTTACACGCTCCCAAGTGAATGTGCTCATTTGTAGTGCTGTGATAACCTGCACCAGCGTGTACGAATATTGCAGAGACACAAGGCTGCGATTGTACTGCGCGCGGTTTCCTGGTATCTGCTGAGCCATCCATGACTGGACTGTAACTCATAGCAGGCATTCTGTTGGTCTCCATGCTTTGGTAGAAAGGTGTCTCGAATATTAATGGTGAGGATCCTGACCATGGATCCTGACGATGTAAAAATGGGGAAGGGATGATTTCGATATTTTGATGTTGAAACTTGCGAAGTGGATTAAAGTTATTAAGAAGTTCGCGACGGAGCTGGCGAAGACGCTCTCGCGCGTTGTCAATTTTACTTGCAATCTGAGATTGTTGGCGTTGAGGAGTGGATCGTTTTGTGAGTTCAGACATGGAGTCGCGTAAGTGTACTAGGAGTAAAGGTGAAGTGTGTTTATGTTCGAGTGAAGTTCAATCCTTCGATACTCGAGATGAGTGTTGGAAGGGGTGACCTGATGGATGAAATTTGCATATAAGATGAGTTGATTGAAAGGTGAGCGACAATCTGGATTTACTCCTCGCAGTGGTCTGGAATCGGACAAGTTGGATGAAACGACAGGATAGTAGAGAGGTATGCCAGAAGAACCCCAAGGGATATATCGTGTCTTATGGTTCTTTTGTACAGAAACAGTCTATTGAAGCTATAATCGGATCAGCCATCAATTGTATTTGACCCAAATACAATTTAATTCATAGTGATTGTAACAAAGATATCTCTCATCTCTCATCTCTCATCTCTCATCTCTCATCATAATGAGAACCACTCACTATTTATTACAAGACAGAGAGCTTCTCTATCATAAGAGACTTTGGCAAACCCAAGATTTGATCCTGTACCTGTACAGACAATGGAAATACAACCAAAGATACAAAAATGGCCAAGACTTCTGGGGCCTGCACAATATTGTAGGTAATCTTTATGAGATATGTTCAGAAAAACGAGTGTCGTCGAGTGGGATTACGGCCCTCGAAGAAAAAGAAATGATGGCGGTGATAATGTTTTCGAGTTGAGGAAGAAGAGATTCTAGGATGTAGAGTAGAGCAGAAGAAAACAACTTTTGTTGACTTATGTACACTTTTAACATAAATATGACTAAACAGGCAGTGAGGTTGGAAGTGAAAAGGGAAAGAGCGTTTCATTGAGAGAAGACAATGAAAATGATAGGTATCGGTATCATTTAAGAGGTACCTAGGTATTGATATTGATAAACAATTCACCCAGTTCAGTTCAATCTCTTCTTTGCTTTACTTTTAAGAGAGATCAATTCACGTTTCTTTCCCTACCCATCACTGGAGCTCGAGGATCAACATAACGAATTGAAGTCTGAGATATCAAATTTATATAAGGTGCACGTGATCTTCAAAATCGAGTGGCTGTCGCTGGTGGGGTTCGTTTAGGTCCGCACCGCCTAATGGTCCATGGATCGTCATCTCGAAGCTTAGATTCAAACGCCAACGGTCAATAGTATAGTTGTTATTTCCAGCACAAGTTATCTACAGTTACTGAAGCTGTCGCATAACTCTCTCAATAGATCTGGGACTGCATTGCGCAGCTTTACTTCAATATGGCTTCTCATACTCCGGCCGTTGTCATGGACAAGTACGTCTAAGATCCCCCAAAGAGACATTCTATATCCCCGTGTCCCGATGAAGGAATAATATCTATTTGTATAATTACTGATACTTCTACGATAGCGGTACCGGCTACTCTAAGCTTGGTTTGTTTGCTTTCCCCGAGAAGACAGGTACACGACTGATAATGCCTCAATTATAGGTTTCGCTGGCAATGATTCTCCCTCCTTCGTTTTCCCTACCGCCATAGCGACGAAAGGTGCCGCAGCGGCTGGTGCCGGCTCAGGATCTGGGCGTCCCGCAGTTGCCAATAAGCCGACATATCTGACCGGTGGTGCTGGGCCAGGAGGGCATCTATCAATGAAACGTGGAACCGAAGATCTGGACTTTTTCATTGGAGACGAGGCATTAGCAGCCGCGAGTGGATCAGGTGCGCATGAGCTACGAATTATATGGCATTGGTATTGATGATGGCAGGTTATGGCATACACTATCCAATTCGCCATGGACAAGTTGAGAACTGGGTAAGGAGGTCGAAGGCTACACTTGTGATAAGATAACTAACATCTGTAGGATCATATGGAAAGATTCTGGTCCAACTCGATATTCAAGTATCTCCGTGTCGAACCAGAAGATCATTACTTTCTGTTAACAGAACCTGTACGTGCCCAATTCTCAAGCTTAGGTGAGACTTGCACTTACTCATCTTTCCCAGCCACTCAATGCACCCGAGAACCGTGAAAACACCGCCGAAATTATGTTCGAATCATTCAACTGTGCAGGTCTGTACATTGCTGTTCAAGCTGTGCTCGCATTGGCTGCGTCGTGGACTTCATCGAAAGTTTCTGATCGATCCCTCACGGGAACTGTAATTGATTCTGGAGACGGTGTGACACACGTAATTCCTGTTGCAGAAGGATATGTTATTGGATCATCAATCAAGTCCATTCCAATCGCCGGTCGAGATATTACATACTTCATTCAATCGTTGCTTCGAGACAGAGGTGAACCGGACTCCTCATTAAAGACTGCGGGTGAGATCAAGGAAAAATATTGCTACGTCTGCCCAGATATTGTTAAGGAATTCTCTCGTTTCGATCGCGATCCTTCAAGATTTGAGAAACATTCGGTCACCCAACCCGGTGGACGTAAGGTCACCGTCGATGTTGGTTACGAACGGTTCCTTGCACCAGAAATCTTCTTCAACCCAGAAATTTACTCCTCCGATTTCTTGACTCCACTTCCAACCGTGGTGGATGGAGTTATCCAATCTTCTCCTATTGATGTTCGCCGTGGACTTTACAAGAATATTGTGTTATCTGGAGGAAGCACACTATACAAGGACTTTGGTCGCAGATTACAACGTGATATCAAGCACTTAGTGGACGACAGAATCAGAGCCAGTGAAGCTCGGAGCGGTGGTGCAAGAAGTGGAGGTTTGGAAGTTTCGGTTATTTCGCATAAGAGACAACGACATGGTCCATGGTTTGGTGGTAGTCTTTTGGGTCAAACCCCTGAATTCAGATCTTATTGCCACACCAAAGCCGGTGAGTCTCTCCTAGTTTTTTTTCTCATCTTCTGAATACAGTATACTAATGTCAAGCAGAATATGACGAGATAGGGCCAAGCATTGTCCGAAGATTTGCCTTGTTAGGAGGACCAGGAGGATCATAAGGAGCTAGACAGCCGATCAAAAGGATAGATAGAGCAATTGGAGGAATGGAAAACTATACATGTATTGAAGAGCAAGCTGGAGTATCGGAGAAGTAATAAAGTGAATATTGCCAAATGAAACGTCTCATAATACGTTGAATGAGATGCAGGGGAGGATAAAATTGATTAAATTGCTGCCGTTGTACTCATTCTTGATTCTTGAATTTCTTCTATTGCTCGTTTAGGTCATTTGGTACACGGATTTCTCTCTATATATCCGAGCCAAGAGTATTTTCAACAAGGTGCGTTGCCGTTCCCGGTGAGCCTTCTGATACCTGACATTAAATGACAAGCATCTTTGAAGCTTGAATAATAGAAGCTACCTCTTGAAACCCCAGAATATATGAAGCACGTGACCCTCACAATTGCGGGGTCGCAATCGTCCAAACTTCACAAACGCGACAAGCCATATACCACTACAAAACTTCAACAAGTTGCGCATCCTCCATCATCTCCCTTCTCGCACATCTGCCAAATATCTATCGGTAGACCTCGAGCCGCGTCAAACCTACAAACTACATATCAGAGAACCAAACACATCCATAACCATGGAAACCGACGCATCCAATATTCCCCTCCCTACCAACGAGGATCTCTCGCCTACCGAACAGGATTTATTAGATGAATATGAGCGATTGGCTGAGAATATGAAGACGGTTTGTTTTCCTTTTCTTCTTTTACCTTTTGCCCCTCCTATCTATTCTCTTCCTAACCCCCCTCCCTTCCAATTCATACACTTACCTACCACTTCTCTAAACATCCAAACTGATTGTAAATAAATAGCTCGCGCATACACTGGAAACCATGTCTGATAACCCTACGGCTTTTATATTGGATAATTTGCGGCAGCTGGAGAGGAAAACTAGTTTGGTTTTTACGCTGTTGAAGGCTAGTGTTTATAGTATTGTGTTGCAGCAGCAGATTTCGGAGGAGCGGGATGGGGGGAATGGTGGTGATGGTGATGGTGGGGAGGGTAGTGGGGGCAGTGAGGAGGGGGAGGAGAGGTACGAATAAGATAGGGGGGATGGAGATGGAGGGAAAATAAACCATAATGAAAGGAAGACGGGATGGGCTACCGAAAAAGGGTGTACGTACGGGATAGACGGGGTGTGAGAATATTCTCGGCTGTTCATTGTCAGCTTCTAGCAGTTTCAGTCAACTGATAGTAGGTAGGATTGACATCACTGGGCGGCAGATGCTTGATAAAGGCGCCCATCATCAAGAAAATCACGAATTGAAGATGGGTGTCAGATATCAAGTCGGAAGGGAGGAATTGCTTCATCTGTTATTTAGGAGTTTAGGATTAAGATACCCACACATAATGATATGTGGAATGCAACTTGCATACCAAGATCTTTTCCATCTAAGCTTTTCTGCCATGCAATATCGTGAAGATATGCCATTCTTGCTTTCCACATACTTTTGCCCTCCCTCCTTCTAGCATTACGCCAGTCCATGCATATGCACATTCATCTCCATGCCTATCTATTTAGTAGTACTTATACAATATGTAATATACATATACATATCCATATTCCCTTTTCCTCCCATCTATGCATCATTCATTCCCTATACCTTTCCTCCATAATAAACCTTCCTGACATCCACAAGTTTCTTTCCTCTGCCCCTAGCAATCTCATCTGGTATTCGTTGCTTCATAAATGCTTGGTAAGTGGCTTTAACCGTATTCATCTTATTCCTCGAGCGTGGTACTTTTCCTGAGAGATCGTGAATGCCAACTGCCTTGGCCATATCAAATATAATCTTTTGACATCGAAGGCCGAATCCTAATGTTTGGATCATCGAATTAGCCCCTCTTCATGCCCGCGTATCATACATACTTCACCATTGAAAAGAATAAAGCACAAAAGAAAACGGCAAACGTACCAGGAGGTCTCGCCATAAGCTTGACTTCAACCGCACTAACTTTTCCCTCCACATCCCCATAGATCGTCCGTTCTTCATATCTGGGAACAGGTCGCATGTTCTTGATAGCCGCAATCTTCGCATTATTATTCGTATCTTCCGATTCTTGTCCTTTGGCCTCTCCTAACCCTAATCTTCCCTTTCCATTTCCTGCAATCGCCAACGTGTATATACTGCCGATTTTCCCCAGACGAGTTTGGTTGACAACTCGATGACTGACGAGGACTTTGGTGTCAAATTCGAGGATTTCATCCATAGTAAGTCCAGTTTGGTGGCGCAACTTCGCATAAGTTCCATCTGGATCCAAGGGATCAAGTCCCTCTTCATCATCCTCATCCACCTCCTTCGCTACCCCCACCTCACCCGGTTCCTTTGTAAAATTCCCAGGAACCTGCGGGGCAATAGCAAACGTACTCGGATCCCCCATTTCCTTCTGCAGCGCCTTCAGCGAATCTAATCTATTCGGCCTATGTTTATCTATCCATTGCGGGTCATCATGATCTACATCTTCGGGATTCTCTTCCATCACTTTGTCCATGTATGCCACGAATTCGTCTCCGATTTTATCCTGATCCAGCGTCCAATTCGGATCAATTCGATAATCCATGATCTTCTTATCGATCACCGGCTGCGTCATACTTAAATCATCCATATATTCCAACCGCCCCAAATCCGTGCGTATCACACCATGACTTTTTAAATCATCCGCATCGACCGCTTCCTCCGCAGCGTCTATAGCAGCAATTTGCTCCGGCGTATATCGCTTTCCCAATAAAGTCTTCTCCTCCTTACTGTACTTCGGATAGAGTTCCTTCGCAGGGGCAGCATCGAGATCTGATTGTTTTATGCTAGCAAAACGGGAACGGCGTCGTGCGGGCAGGGGAGTCGAGGCGTGGAAATTCTGTCGTCGGGTGAGGGGTCGGAGTTTGGGAAGGGGCGCGTTGAAGAGACATCTCGCTGGTCGGGAGACACTCATTGCGAGGGAATTTGGAGGTTGCAGGTTGCCTGCACGTCTGATCGGAGCCCAATTTCTGGATTTCAATACGGATTCGAGATGCACCCGACGAGAAAATTAGTCGCTCGGACACTTTCTGTACAGTCACGTGCTAGAGATATTACAGGGGTCTAGGAGCTTTTGTTGACTACAAACGTTGACCTTCAAAACTTAATATAAAACCTTTGCCATATGATGTTGATCTATATTCATAGTTGAATGATTAACTGGCCTCTGCCCTTAGTGTTAAGACCATTTGAAATCCCTTTCTATTAGCAGTTGAATTTACGGTTCTAAACCCTCTGCCCAAGTGGGCAAAATGTGGTTTTGTGCGTGGGCGAGGGCGAGTGATCTCAAGTTGTAGACATTCCATTTTCGAAATTCCGAATTTACACCTTTCATTTCTTATTTGGGAGGAACAAGTCAGCTTCCTATATATGGACAATCCTTCTCACTTCTGTTTTCATAGTCTCTTCGAGCATATCTCAAAACAATATCAATGCACACAACGTACACCTCGAATCCCAGCTTCACATTTCTGCACACCATCACGGAACTTTACAAGCAAAAGTCATAATCATCATTAAATTACCAATCCAAATACAAATCCTAATCGCTAATTTGATCCCTACACAAACTCAAAATATAACCTCGAATCAAAGGCTCTCAGCTCAAGTATCAGAAAAACGTGAAATGCAAATGAGCAACCAGCCGTGAGGCAAGAGGTATAAGAAACACCACACACAACCATTCGTTTAACCGCACTTTTTCCTCACTTTGTTTTCTTTCCAAGCTTGTGCTTTTTCTTTACTATCCCTCCATTCCTTGGTCTGGGACTTCACTATACCAGTAGTGACACTGTGCTTTGGTTATGTTCAATTTCGTTCATCCATCCATCTGCCATTCTTGTCTCGCGGTCCTGTCAATACCTTCTTCTTTTCCTCCAAGCTTTCTTCTACGCCTGCGTACACTTTCTCATTCCATCCATCTCTCTTTCTCTTTCATAGCACCACGGTTTCGAACCAAAGTATATTGGAAAATTCAGGCAAACAGATACTCAACTTCCTTCCTCGCTACAAAAGTCAAAAGAGCAATTGCTCTAAAACATAAACCCAAAAGCACCAGCCTTTTAAAAGAAAGCCAGTTGCAAGTGCCAAAAGAGTGAAATAAATATTATGCCCTCCCAAAACAAAACAGCAAAGCAAAGAAATAAACAATACGTATGCATATGTAAATATATATTCAAGGATGGTGCAGAAGTAGATTTACAATATTATGAACCGATTTCTCTCTCTCTCTTCTCGTCATAAAAAACCCATCACCACCCCATCCATCAATATATTCCATCTCTTCTCCCGTAAAGACTCATAAATATCATCATAAGCCTGAGCCAAAAGTTTTGTCTGTCTTATGTAAATCTTCTTTCTTGTTTGTTTGTAAAAGACAGTCAAGAATATTAAGTAGAATCATTTTCCCATCCAGCCTACCCTTCCGTCCACCAAAATAAGGTTTTTGAGAAAGTTAAATAGAGGCCGTTATGCGTGTGTTTGTATGGAGAAGGAAACGAATGAAGAGAACCACAAAACCACAGAACCACAGAAGAAAGGAAAGAATGGAAAGGGTATCGAGAATTGAAGACTGGCGCTTGAAGCAATTTCAAAGTCAAATTTAGAAACAGAACAGAAACAGAACAAAAACGCCAAGATCATGCAAAAGGAATTTCAATCAAATCATCCCACCCTCCATATTCCCATGATACGCAGCCCTTACTTCCATAGGATGTCTCTCCGTCTGAATCCCACTTGAAGGGGTCGTCGTGACACTCCTATCAAGCAGAGGTGGTGCAGACCAATTAGCGGGAGGAACACTCTCATAAGGACTACCATTGGAATCAGTCGGACTTTTCGTAACTCCTTTATCGGTAACAGGACTCGAGTTATGCTTGCCACGGCTAGCGCTTCTCAGCCGCTCTGCAGCGCGCGAAATACGGTTCGAGAGGGAATTGTCTGTTTCCGAACGACCACGGTTGTGTGTGTAAGTGTGGGAGATGGAGGAGGTGCGGCGGCGTTCGAGCGTTGGAGGGATTGGCGGTGGTTCCAATATGGAATTGGAGTTCATCTGGGGAATCATGAGGATGGGTTCATCGTCCATTACTATTTCGATAACGCCTGATCCGGAGGAGACACCTGAGATACCTGAACCGGATGAGACACCGGAGACCATGGAGTTGGTGTTTGCGTTTGGTCTATACAATGGTGGGGGCGGTGGTGGTGGGGGTTTAGCCAAATGCTGGAGTTGTGGGAGGAGAGGTGGAGCGGGAGGAGGCGGCGGTGGTGGGGGAATCAGATCGTTGTTTGGATGATGCATATGCATATGCATCGCCTGATTCGCCTCGATCGTCTCATCGATTCCAGTCAATACATTAACAGGACCACTTGCGTAAACGGGACTTCCACTTCTACTCCCGTCACCCTGCGGATCACCAGAGACTTTTCTGCGGGGAGATTGGGTGGCTGACATTCTTTCCCTGGTATCGGGTGTACGGCGTGAAGAACTGGATGGAATTGTGGATTGGAATGCGGGATGGAGGGGTAAACCTGCGGGTATTATATTTGGTTTGTAATAACTCTCCTCTGGGATAGGAGCTGAAGCCGATCGAGGAGGGACGCGTCGAGGTGGGGCAGCATGGTACACGGTCTTTGGCAGAGGCCTGAAAGTATCATGCGGGCTATCAGATACATTGAAGGCAGCTGCGCTCAATGTTGCAGTCTGGGTTTGTGATGGACCGCTATCATATCGACCTGGGATTTGAGGAACTTGCGGAATAATTTCTGCACCATTACCTTCAGGATCGTATTTAGGATGTCGCATCGCTCGAGGAGTGGCAGGTAAACCAATCTGTACGGAAGACTCGGGAGCTGATCCGAAACCACTACTTGGAGAATTATTATTCGGAGTATTTTGCTGGCTTCGTGGAGCTTGCGGGCTTGCTTTCGGGGGAGAATACGACATCGTTAAGTTCAATTCCGGGTAATTTGTCGTTGGACGATACGCCAGTGGTGACAAACCACTCAGTTCTCCTGGGTGAATGATCGGTGGTGCTAACGGCCTTTGAGCCAACGATTTACGTCTCTCCTCAAGCTCACGTGCAGCCTGTTCTCTTTTCAATGCTCGCTCATCTTTGGGGTCGATCTTTTGTCGTTCGATAGGTTTTTGAACCAATTCGGATTGAGATCGCATATGAGATTGAGGTTCCGCACCATCCCTTGTTATGTATGGCGATCTTTGACCTTCCAGTGGTCTTCTGCTTGTAGACCTCTCAGAATGTCTTCCATTGGGTGAACCGGCTCGGACGGCACTGGTACCACGCTCCCTCATACGACTACCACTTCTCATCCTAAATGCGAGTTGATCTGCCTTTGCGGCTCTCAAATCCTCATAATCGGCCGCCTCATCCTCCTGGTAGAATTTTGCTTGTGGAGAGAATGGTAATGGAGATGATGGTGACCGGACCGCCGATCCTGTACGTCCTGCACTTCGACCTCTGGCGTCTGGACCCCCCAATCTAATATCGGGACTGGCGGCTCGACGGCTGGTATTGCGACTAGATTGGCGACTAGATGTCTTTCTTGATTCGGGAGATTGTCGACGAACTCGGCTTGCTTGTCTAGAAGATTTCATCTCTGTTCGACTCTCTGTCCTTGATTGCTTTTCCTCGACCACCATTTCTCCATCCGAGACTGCAGCACCCAGATCTCTCAGATCTTCGGGTGACATAGGAACAGGAGAAGTTGGTGATCGCTTCGCTGGCTTAATGTATTGATTGATATTTCTCCCTCTGTCTTCCGAAGATTCTCGAGTCTTTGGCTTTCGACTATTGCTGTGAGCTCTCCCCGTTCGGTCCTGACTAGCTTGTCGACTGCGTTGTTGCTTCTTGTGGTATGTTGCAGAATCCAAGCTGCTGATATATTGATCGATACTCCTGCCATGCATAACCGGGCTTGTTGTTCTAAAACTTCTCTCGCTATTCATTGGACTTCTAGCGTTGCTTGAGGTCGATACCGAAGCCGCTGATGATAGAGCAGCAGAGCTTAATGGGTCGCCAATAGAGCGGTTGTTTCGATGGCCGTGGCGTGAAGATCCTGTTTGCTCTGGAGATGTCATATAATCACCGGTAATTATCGACTCCATGGGTGGCCATTGAATCTGCAAACCATCTGGTTTGCGGTGTCGTGATCCATTTCTCGTACGATCGTCTTGCTTTTTGGCCGTGAATGTATCCGGCGATGGCGATGGTAATGGATTGACAATCTTCTTTTGCGTCATGGGTGTCGTAGGCCTATTCTTTGTAATTGGAGTGTATGTAGCCGAGCTTAGTTGCAAACCTTCCGGCTCCATCTCACGAGCATACCGCCCGACTCGCTCTCGGTCTGATCCGGAATCACTAGGTATGGATGGGTTCAATGGTTCTAATCTGACACGAGGTATAACATCATTGGGTGTCTCGCCGATGGATGGAAGACGTCGACGGGAAAATCCACCGGGTGTTGCGGTTCGTGCAGAGGCTGGTGTGTGATAAGCGCTACGGCTACCTGGTCTTAAGAAGGCAGTATGTGCTGTGTCACCACCTGGAGAAATTGCAGATTCTTCAATTGGAGTTGGGCCAGGACCAACGGGCGTTTTGTCACTATCGATGCCAAAGAACTTTGACTTCTGTTGTTTGTCTCCAAACGCTGTGATCAGCTTTAGTGCTGATGTCTTGGCGATACTGCGCTGTGGACCTCTGTGGCTGGGTGGTGATAGAGGAGGGCTCAGTATTTCGGGAATACTTTGGCTATGAATATTTGTAAAAGTGGCAGCTTGAGCAGATGGTGATGTCCAAGGTTCAGATGACTCTGAAGCCGTGCAGGAAAAGCATCGAATGGCCAATTGTTGTTGCCCATGCTGAACAGCCCACTCACCCCATTTTCTGATCAATCCAGCTTGTCGAGACCAATCCGATGGAAAAACATGACTCGTCAAAATTAACGCTTCCATAAATCGCTTGTGGGAGACGTAAATCTCGATTGCATCGTTTTGATCTCCCATACCGATCATGATGGTAGCAGCAGTATGGACATCTCCCTTTTCCAAAAGGCGTTGAACATAAGCTCGGGCAACTTTTGTTTGCGAAGCATGTCCTCCAATTCCGCTGAGGGCGAGAAGCATCCAGTCGGATGAAGTCATCGACTCGGAGCTGGTGGCCATAATATCAAGCTCGAGCTCGCCAATCCATTTAGCAAGGAGAACTCGATGCGTAGATCCGACTGGTGCTCGAGTCATCTCGTCGCGGATTAGTCCTTCGGCTTCTCCATCCCACCCAAATATCGTGCTTAGCATTTGAAGTCGGAGGTGGTCACTCGTGAGATGGGCATGGTCTGAGACTTGTGCTTGACGATAAGGAATATCACTCAGCCTAGCTTTGGTATATTTAAAGAGTTCCACGACTTGACTTCCTAATTCTTCGGGACTACGGAGCACTTCTTGTCTTAACCGAGACCCACGATTCCGGGAACGATATGATCGTGCCGAACTGGTGTTACTTTGAGCGTACGAGTCTCTACTTGAAAGGACAGAAGGTTCTCGAGTAGTATTAGTGTGAATTGACGAGCCAAAGGACATGCTTGTTGCTTCACTCATGCCTCCACGTGATATAGCTGACAATCCCGAAGAATGTTTCCCATGATGACGATTATTATTGTGTGGCCTCGAATCTGCGGACGATCTAGTAGAAGTCGACGTCCGACTCCTCGACGACACAGGGGATAATGTGTCAGCACGGTCAGGCTCCATGGCCTCGACACGCAATTGCTGTTCCATTTCATCACCACGTCGAGCAATTCTCGCCAGTGGTGACATCCGATCGGAGTCACTCTCGGAGATGTCGATATTAATTGGTACAGCTGAAACCTCTGCTGCGACCGCCTGAGCGGCCTGTTGTTTCTGCTCCTCGACAGACACAGGGGGAGACGGTGGCAACAAATTGGCTGGGTGTTGTACATTTGCGACCATCTGAGGTGAAGAATTCAGATCAAATTGCTGTGCCGTATTGTTTGGCCCCAGAGTGAAGAGTGTCGCTCCAGGGCCATAAACAGCTAGACCTTTCACAATGTCCAATGTCGGAACTTTTTCGAAAGTGACCTGTTTCGTTCGAACGTCCCATGACGAAGTTTCCCTGTATCACACCTTGTGTAAGTGGTTGCTGCTAAGCGCGCGCCCATGGCCTTATGCAATGTGGGGGACAAATAAGGGGGGAGAACCAGGTTTGCTTACCCTTCAGAAAACTGAATGATACGACCATTTTTCGACCACCCTAACCAATTTGGTCCGGTTTGAAAATTATCGGAACGTTTCAATACCCGGACGATTTTTGCTGTATCGTTGCTGGTGGGAGATTTGGCAATGCTCCAAACTCGTAGATCACCATCGTTCGTTTGAGAAGCTAGCATGTCCGACTTTTGGCGTGATGATGAAGCATGCCATGATAGTGTAACGATTGGTGATGGTCCTCTTGAAGTTGTCAAGTTGTGAAGAATTATGAATCTTGGTTGCAATGCTGCAATCAAAAGAGATCCATTGGAAAATCTGCACCAAATCAGCTGGAGATCTCGTAACGTGTTGCTAGAGTTTTAGCTTACCCAATAGCATATGTTCTGGAGTCTGCTGCTGGTGCCAAAGCAGTAATAGGAATCTGATCTAAAGTCCTTGCGGATATATGCTCTGACGTTGTCGGCTCAAAAAGAATAACGTTCCCCTGAGCATTTCCTGTAATTTATCAGCAACAAAGCCCAGACCTCCGCTAGCTACCCCGCCATACGCACCAAATGCAATATTCCCATTGCGCATCCAAGCTGCCACGGTGAGGTTTTCGTAACTCGCAAATCTGGCAATTTCATCTCCCGTCATGCAATCCCATACAATGGCAGTTTGCCCAGCATCATAGCTCACCACTAATCGTCCCGCCCCTCTTTCGCTGATATTATCCACCGCCAATAATTGTATGTCTTCTGTATGTCTCGAAAAGCGTCTCTCAATCTTGAGGGTATCATGATGAGCGCATACGACTGAATTTCCTTGCACATATAAAAACATGGACGCCGTCGCAGCACATGGTTCGAAATCTCGAGGGACGGAAATCGATGGCATACTGACTTCGGCCAATGTGGCTCCAGTGCCTTTGGATGAATGACCGGATCTCATGGTTATCGACCGGGTCCTCGCGACAGACATGGTGGTGATAACTTCGTTATCTGTGGATCGAGCATCGGAATAGTTAGTCGAACCTCTGCATGAGTTTCTCTGCCCCAAGGTTGGCTACATGAACACATGGAGCCCCGAGGAATCTGGAGCTTCAATGCCTCCTCTACTTTGAGAAGAGAGAATGTCACTTACAGATATATCAGCTATATCTCAGGTCTCTTGCCGTTCTCCCACGCTGTTGTGCTTTCTGCAGTACAGAGGGCTGATCACTATCCACGCCCAATTCTATATCGGTTGTCCCATGGATATTCTGTATGGGTGGCGGTAAAGAAATAGAGTGGAGAATCCAGAGCTACCGAATGAATGGAGGCGTTCTGCTGTGTCGCCGTGAACAACTGTGATGCGTGGTTGTGTACCGGGAATTCGTTCTAATATTCTTTGTACAATAGTCGAGAAGGAAAAAGTCAAGAACGTTTGATGTACAACTTGGAGTGAGGGGAATATGTTCCAAAGTGAGTAAGTGAATAGTGAGTGATACGAAAGCAGACTACAAGACATCAATACACTAAAAAGATCCTCGTCTCATGCCTGAGACTAATAGAATCGCAAGACGGCCGATACGGCGCTTGTATGGGGTCCAGAGGAAACAGCAAAGATCCTACACGCTATAAGAAAAAGATAAAAAAGAATGGAGAGAAATTGACCCTAGAAGATGAGCGCAATAACCGTATATGGCTTTTCGATGGTTAATAGCTTTCGTTACTAGGTCCGAGAGCGTTGTAGGGTTTATAGGGCACTATAGGACAGAGCGGCTAATCCAAGGTTTCTTTGAGTTATCAGTGGATAATGCGGAGACCAAATTAGAAATTGGCATGCGATACGCATCTCCAGCCGAACCGTGGGATATATATGTGGTGTGGGATCTGATGCGGTCGCGGTCCGGCTCATGTGTCTTAAGAACTCGAGATAGACAAGCCACCTTACCGTCTACATCAACCCCTGGTCAAAATGGTCGCATGGAATAGGGCACGCTATCAAGGGTTATGCTCTCCCCCCCTCCATAATCTTGCCATTTATACCTGGTCAAATCGTGATGCATTTCTGTCAGGGCTTTTCTTGACCCTTTTTCGAGGCTGCTGACATGCGTGAATCGGGTTTTCAGTCTGAGAAATGTACCGATTAGAGGAGAGAGGGAGAAAGATGTGATGATTGTGATGGTGACCACATACTGTATTCTCAGTCACAAGAAAGTGGGGCATTGAATTTCGCTCTCGTTGAGAGGTCAGAGGGAAAAGAAAAGATGAGAAAGGATATGAGAGAACCCGGAATGGGTGATAGTACGATATTGTGAACTAGGGGCAGTATACCCCCTTCTATGAAGATAATTGGAAGCAAATTGGTAACCTTACAATGGGGTAATCAAAAAAGAGAGGGGAAAGGATTGAACGTTAACATGCTTGGTCGATCATTAATTGGATACTCGGGTTGACATCTTGGTGCAATGTTCCCTCACCTGACTCCTCGAGCTTGTGGCACCTACGCTGCGTTGAAAAATAAAATGCTATCGCTCGGCATGGTGACATTATTACTTGGTACAAGCAGGATACAGTACATCTATTGGAAGCAGTAAGACGAATCAGGGTTCAGTATATAGTATATAGTACCTCTATTCCCAGAGAGGCTGTGAGGAAGAGGACATGAAAAGGTCTCGTACTGGTTAGGTTAGGTATGTACTATTGAATGGGCTGGCTATGAATGGGTACTGTATGTATGTATGTATGTATCGTATCGTTATGTATATGAATATGTACTGGATGAACGAGATGAATAAGGTGGATATTCTTAATTTCTGTAATCTGTACCCAATTTCGAATAGGTACCCTATGAAAGAAAAGTTCCTCCGTCCGGCTGGAAGAGACTAAAACATGAGTTGCTCATGTTGTGTTGTACAAGTGATGAGATGGTATCATGGTAGTGTGTAAGGAAAAGGTTGAATTCATCTCTTTGATTCGAGTGATAATGATATTAGATATTGAAGAAAAAGCCAGGTTTAATTGGTGAATTGATTAATTGAAGGGCCATATGAAACTTCTATTCGTTGATTGAAGCATTCGACTAATACAAAGGCGTCGTGATGGGCCGCCCTGGTACACCAATCCTGGGTTTGTGCTCCACGATAGCTCCACGGTTTTCCTATCGCAAGGCACGTAAGCGCCGTTATAGGTCGAAGCTGGACGGGTTTATTCTAGGCGATATGCACGAGATGCAATATGAATGCCCATTCATCACTTGGATTTTATCCAATCAGTGTTCTCCATAGCTATATCGATGAGCAACGGTACATGGTTGGCACGACGTTTTTTCTTTTCGGTTTGGACTTATCGAGTCATTGAGATGGATAGATGGATGATATGGATGGGCTGGATGGTTGGATTGTGGTTGGTGATGGGTGATGGGCTTGAGTGACGAGAAGTGAACTTGATTTGACCAAATGAGGACAATTAATTGGAAGAGATGAGATAGAAGAGAATCAGACAAGTCAGATTCAAATATCGAGAACAATTAAATTGTTATTATCTCTTGAAGCGCCAACAAAGGCATTGTTACCGTTCTATATGGCCATTGGCCATTTCCCCCGCTTGGCATCATTTTTGTACGACGACCATGGAACTTAGAACTTAAAGAAGTCATTTAATGAAAATGAGAAATCAAATCATATCAAATCAAATACATTCCGACTCTATTCAATCTATTCACACAAACTATTGTCCAGTTCTCGTTACTTCGCATCGCATCAATCATCCCAATTTAATCAAACCATACCATACTACTTATAGTACTATACTATACCATACTATACCATACCTATCCATCTATTCATCCATCCATCCGTTCAATCCAATACATGTAGGTACCTCAGTCGCCTCACCTCACCTCAACTCAGATCAATCTCTGGTCCGTACTTATAGGAGCCGGAATAATATAATAAGACCCAACAAGACAGGATCATCATTACAGTACAGCAGAATTGATTGCGTGTGAACGAACATGGATTCCGAACCTTCCGAGCTTCCCTCTCCCCTGCCCGGCTTTGAAGAATCCTTTCCTTATAGAGTAGAGTATATTTGATGGAGAATGAAGGATTTGGAAGTCAAGAACTGTAAAAGATCTCTTTTGAACCTGTGCTAACCTAGTTTTGATATAAGACTTCTTCTTACAATCCGAGCTTGAAGATACAGATATCTAGATACCAGTATCCGATAAACACAGAATCACGAAATAAACCAGAGCCAAGAGATTTAAAAGGTATAATAGCTTCCGTCCGAATGAAATGAAATCTTTTCTCATGTCGTATTCAACTCTACGATATAGGTAGATAGATGCATAAGGGGTGACGGGATTGTGCGTGATTTCGGATATGATTTGCTATATTCATTCGCATTTGTGGTTTGTGATGTGAAAGTTACCTACTGTTACTGTATCCTCCGAACTTTCTAGGTTCTTTTCTTAACTCTCAACAAGTTAATTAGCTATTTAGCTATTTAACTATTTAGCTACAGTATTTAGCTATCTAGCTATCAGAAAAGTACAAGAGATCGTTTTCTAATTCAATAATGCTACCGAAACAACATCTCGCACGGGTGTGCATCCCATCTCATCCCGCCAAGTCGATCTCGAGAATACCCATTGTCGAATTATCGTCAACGAGGACCACAAAAATATTATTGAATTCAATGTAATGTATACATACATACATACCGGTACTCAGTCTACCAGTGCGTGAAATACAAGGGCTCAACATGCACTCACTCACTGTACAACATTCGATGTCCTTCGCCGTAGAACGTTAACAAGGAAGGGAAGGCACTGTACATTCGTTGCACTACACTGCGGGCCTGCGGCTGTTGTCCTGTATGTATATATGTATATGTAGATATGTATGTATGTACGATGGGACCGCATATCTGACCTACATTTGCTGCGGAGGGATGGGATCCTCTCTGTGTATCGTGTAGTGTCGTATCGTATCTAACAATAGTATCGCCCCCAATGGTCGAAAAATAGGTCTGTCTACAAGTAAACGGTATGTATATATGCCGTATGGTAGGTACATGTATAGGTATAACTTCTTTGAGTGATATAGGAATGAAGGGGGATAGAAAATTCATTTCATTCCTACCATGCGGGACTTCAAAGTACCGAGAAATGTTACAACAAGTCTGTCTATCTAAGACTATCAGTCTATCAGTCAACATTAACAGCGAAGTCGGACAGTCACGGATCGTCTTCAAAGGAACCATCAAAGGTACAGACGCCAATCAAGCCTTCGCCCTGCCCAGAATCATACTGCATATTCCATTCAACCTAAACCCAACTCAAAATCAAGCAAGGCACACACAACCTACCTAGATATAATATGATGAATATATGTATTCGAGCCAGACAAACCAGACCAGATTAGACTAGACTAGACTAACATTTATCCATTAAAAATTTGGAGGACGGTCTGGTCTGGTACTTGGCATCTTATTATATCTGCCATTCAATTCTGCCATGTACAGTATTGAAGTGAATTGAATTGATCGCTTAGCTACATACCGGTGGGGGGTGGAGAAGAGGTCAGGTCTAGCTTGTAAACGACCCGTTTTGTTGTTTTGTTTCATCTCGACTCTTGAGTCTTGAGCTTCCTAGCTTCCCAGCTTCCCCATCATTTCCTTGGGGTAACACGATTTTCGATGTTGCTGGTTTACACATACTCCGTACTCCGTACATCTTGAATCATTCCCTCCTTCCTACCTTACAATATCAAAATATATCCACAACAATAGACTCGAGGATCCTGGTATAACAATAACAATAACAATAACAATATATTCGTATATACAACCTGCAATTCTATTCTACGGCACAGAGTGAGTGACTCATTTTATTATCTTCAACTCGCTTTCTTTCCAATCAGATTCGATATAGATATGGATATGAAGAACCCTCGGTACTGTATGTATAGAACTAACTGCTACTATATCTCGTGTATCACCAAATCCTTTACAGTACGTATAGTACCGGTTTATCTCTAACAAGCCACCAGTCAATTGGAATGATTTCTTCATCTCGGTACAGTATTCATCCTTTCATTTGACATATCATGCCATGCCGCCCCCAAACAAATCCCCCCCAAAGAAAGCCTCAGGAAATTGTTACAGAATTCGTATCTATCTTAGGGCGGGCTGGCTACTTTGGTTATCATTCTCCATCTTTGGAGATACCTCAATCACCTCTGACTAAGCTGTTGTTGCAGTTCAAGTATTTTTCGTTCCATCTCTTGTTCCATCTCTTGTTTCTCTCGTTCCATCTCTTGTTTCTCTTGCTTCCATTGCTCCGCTTCTATTTTCAGGTCTCGAATAGTCATGAGAGGATCATCATCCTCAGCAGCTGAATCCTTCTCAGTGGAATACGATCGTTGTCTTCCCTCGCCCAAATTCAAAGTTGCTCGTAGCTGCTTGTCATATGTGTATACTTCCGCAGTACATTCCTTGGCGTCGATAACAATATGCAACATATGCGATTGGATATCAATATCTGCGCAAAGTCTGTGTTAGATAAGATTAAGTCCAAAATCAGAAAAAAATATTCACCTCTGACGTGAAGCGTATCGAGAAAAGACTTCGAACAAAAATTAAGAATGATGTAATCTTCAAGAATACCCCATTTATGATATTTCCCCTCAGGTTTAAAGCGGCTTGCGTGTTCTTCTAGTCTTCCGTTGTTGCCAGACCGAAGTATTTCGATACCCCATTTCTTATCAAAGATGTAGAAATCGATTCGTCCATCCGGTGTATCAGCATATTCAGCTAAAATGGGTAGACTATGAAGTTCATAGTTAAGACAACAATACATTTCATCCTGAAACGCTGCTTCTGGAATACCCAACTTATTGCCATTTGACGAGGGAGAACGATGATGGAAAACAGATGGGCTGAATCTTTCAATAGCGTTTAGACAGGTTTGCTGAAGGGTGGCTTTATCTGAATTGATTCCTGGTGGTGGACCTGGAATAAGACGACGATATGCAATTCTGACTATAAATCAGTATGAATAAAGGACAGGTTGAATATATATACATACCTTCTATGTATTGGAGAAGCGAAGATATAAGTAATTTCGCTACTTCCAGGCCTAGACTATTCTATATGTAGGAATCCCATTTTATGGCAGAAGGCCAGTGCATTCATAGTCTCCGGTTTTGGTGCTGTATAGCCCTTAGGTAGTATTGCTACTTTACGCAATGCATCTGCGACATGCGAAAATTTGAGGTGGTTGTAAGCAGGAAGATTTCTCAAGATTTTTCTTAAATGATCCTCTCCTGTAATGGTCCAGACTCCTCTGAAATATTGAACAAGAAAGTCCACCAGGAAATTATCCTCGACCAAAAAATGGTGACAAAAAGCTGGCGTCCATCTTTGACCATTTGGAATGTTGTTCTTGTGAAGCGATAAAAGGTTAGCATGGGTTTTCAAAACAACTTATTAAAATAGCTGAGGGGAACTTACCTGTTTAATCAACAATTCAAAACTTGATAAGATGAACCCGACCATGCCCGGATGACCGTCAGTAGCAGTGTGGATATACTCGGCTATCGCTTCAAGATCGACACTTTCAGGTTTGAAACTATTCTCCAAGACCCATTTGCTGACTACGATCAATGTCTCTTCCGACTTGAAGAGCATGCATAGAGAATTATGTTTGGATGGGCGTAATTCAATCCGATTGAGGGCGTCTACGTCTACTTTCAAAGCTTGCGATTCGAATGTGTTTTGATTCCCGGGAAGGCCAATAGAGCCATAAAGACAGACAAGCACGAAGATTGGTTGCCTTCTAGTGTTGGGTTTCTTGAGTTCAAAGGACCAAAATGCTTCATCCTCATAAGAGCCTTGAGCTTCATCAATTAAAAATATTACTCTGGCGTTCGGGTTACATGGACGATATATGGCGTTTTCAATTCGTGCATAGCGTACTTGCTCCTTTAGATACTGCTTGTAGGGGATATTATTGCGTTGATCCTTAGACTCCCAATAAATGAATACAGGCTCAAGATCTTCTCTTTGATGAAGAATATGACGGCCAAGTAATGATAGAAGGGTTGTTTTTCCTACTAAAGGGGTTGCTCGAATAACCACCACTCTCATATATTGTGCCTGTTGCAGAACTGTAGAAACCACATGCTGTCTCTCACAAACATTAGGACAGTTCGGATTCCATGAACTTATATCAGGAAGGTTGTGATATTCAATCGTATGCCTACAATTGACACAAATAGGAATCAATAACTCGAAGACTCCTTGAGGGCAATTACACTGATTACAAGGGTAGTGAGTCATAGTAGTAGAAGGGAGATTTGGGTTTGTGCTTCCTCTGAGAGGCTTCTCTTGGTTGGATTGTTGATATTTGTGATGTTGTTTTGGCGGTTGTTTCCTGGACTGACGTTTTGACTGGAGTTTTGACTGGCGTTTTGACTGGCACTGACGATTCTTAGAGTGAATATCAAGGTTTTGTAGGGGACCATCTGAGGAGGAAGTCTTGGAAAGATGTAGATGTGACTCTACATCTTTTGGAATAGACAAGAGACGTCTTTTGGACTGAGATCTGGTAGTTACAGGCATTTTCTGTATTAGGTAAGTAAAAGTAGGTTCATGAAGAGGAAGGAAAGTTAAAGAGGAAGAAAAGTTCTTGTTTCTGTATAATCAATATACAAATAGAATTTCTTTGTTTTAAAAAGAAGTGAAAAAGAATTTGTATTTTCTGTCTGCAAACAAAGAAAGTATAATTTAGTTTTGGGTAGTCCACATGCGCAGTTCACTTTCTAACACCTATTAGTATTTTTCCATGCATCGTCAGACATACTGTTATAGTGTCATCCTTTGTGTCTCTGAAAGCTGGCGTACGAAATAGCTGATGGGAGAGAAGAATCATAATCAAAAGTTGGAAAAGAACAGAAAAAGACATCTGAAGGGGTTTCCATATCCTGTTGGTGAATTCAGGCAAACACAACTACACAATTACACCCAGACCCCAAAATTCGTGATTTTAATCGACAGGGACCTTAAGGCAACTCCTGGTCTATGTAACGATTTTTTGATAACGAAAATAAGCAACGATGCTGGTTTGTATCACTCCAAAAGCCTGGACTACGAGAGATGACCTTGTGCTGATTATTGTTGGGGCCGCAAGAAATAGGACCCATAGGGTCAAGGTTGGACATCCTCTTCGTCAAAGGAGTTTGATTTGAGAACAAAATTCCTCAAATGACATATCCATACTTGCATCTTGATGAAGATCAAAATTGTTTAAGAACTTGTTGTCAGATTGCCAGGAGTCGGCTACACTGCTGCTGCTGTCTTTGAGCTCCAACGGTTGATCCGTTGAAGTCATAGTAATAGGTGGTAACTGAGATGGAAAATGTTTTGATTGAGAAGAAAGATGATTGAACAACCTCAGAGCTGGATACAAGTCACCTTCTTATACTCATTCTCTCCCAGGGATCGCCGATTATCAGGGGTCATATCATGGCCTCCTCGCCCTGGTCAAGGCAATGTGCAACATGCCTTTCTCAGAATACCACTATCTAGAATGATGATAGGATAGCGAGAAGAGGTTCAGGATCTTTAGCTTGAGCAGGAGCAGGGACAATATACATGTAGGGGCATCTTTTGCATAGAGCATGAAGAGAATATCAGCTAGGCAGATTTATCTTGTCATAGACAATTGTCTAGTACTATTTTGGACTCCTTAACCTCGTTCCTATCTCTCCTATCACAATGATGCATCTTCTTTGATATACTAATAAAACCAACACAGGTGCAAGTCTCAGCTTCTCGGTGATCATTCCTACTGGGGAACTTTCCTTGCTGAATCGAGACAACGATCAATTTCATCCCTCCCTGCTATCCTATCATCTTTGAAGCTCGGTGAACAGCCATTCCACTCAGCCAGAGATACCTAGCATATGCAAGGTGGAAGAAGTAACTACATACTAGAAGGAGATAAAGAACTTGGATTTGACTCTTCTATGCAAACTCATCATCACTTGAAGCATGATGTATACGATATCACAACATGAATCTCGTAAACTCCATTGAACAATCCCCACTTGCAGGCTGTCCTCGAGGCCAAAGAGATTTTCGGTGCGATTATCCTAACCTTCCAATGAAAATTCGAACCATTGGAGAAGAAGGTAGGGCTTTCACATTATCAGCTGGTGAAAATGCATAAGACTCTCCCACTCAGAGGAGTCTTAATATAACAAAACCAGCACAGCCTGGCTGTTTATCCTGAAGCATGAGGGATTTAGTAGAAACTCATTGAGCTTTCCCGGATGAATGGATGAGAAAGAAGAAAGAAAGATCAAGGATACCAAAAACATGGCCTGTGCAGTACTGTATTTAATAAGCACTATACACTAGATCTGATTGGCCTGAATACCTCTTAGCTTAAGGGATAAACACCTGGGATATAAATAGGTATTACTCGAGTATAGTATTATCAACTTATATTTTATTAAACTTTATTTGGTAGATATCATAAGCATCATAAGTATTATATCATATCAAAACATAAGTGTTATAAAACCAATATACCGATAATTTGATTTAATTTCGCACACTACCACCATCAACTAACTAATTAACTAACTAATGTTTTCAACAATCAAGTCGAGTCGAGTCCCTAACCTAACCCCTCATTGCATAGCACTTTCCCTGGGTATATTCATCATCAATCAATCCAAAATCCATGCCCAAATCATCATAGAAGAAAAATAGAAAAAAAAAGTACTCATGAGCCACCCAGTGTCTCAAAGATCCAAGTCAAGTCAACCCAGCTGACGATCAAATTAAAATTCCTTTCCTTCCTTGGGTATCAAACGCGAAGCCAATCCCCATCCATCCATGAGGTAGGTGGATGCCAGATGCAATGTGAACCGCATTATAGATCTATGCGTGTCCAGTTCAAATCCCTCGAGCCATTCTTCCTTCTTCCTTCATCAATCTTCTTTATGAAGAGATGTCCTATCCTATCCTTTCCAAATAACTTCCATTCCATGCATGTATCTATTACCACGCGACAAGTGATGATGTCCTACTTGAACATCATGAAACCCCATCGCATCCAAGTATCGAAAACTCTTTTCAGTGGCGATGAGAGATTTGCCGTGGATATGCAATATGGCAGGTTGCCACTCTGTGGAGATATCCTCGTCGAGAGACCTCTAAGTCTCCCATCTATAATCCTTCGTTTCGAAAGTCGCCGCTTGAAATCGATGATGTGGGTATCTATCTATGGTATCTATCTAATGGGTATAATATATTGTATGATCTGCGATATGAAAGTCAGTAACTGCAACCATACAAACAAAAACAAGAGCACAAATAACTTACCAAAAACGCGATCCATTTCTCAAAACTCCTCTCGTGGATAACTTCATTCGCCAGCCTCGGCAATAGGAGTCATATGTTTACTCGAATTTGCACCGGAGCTATGTCTTGATTTTCTCGATCCACTTCCGTGTCTCTTCTTGCTCTTGTCCGCCGCAGCCTTCTCCTTCTTCTGAGCCTTTTCAGCAGCATGTTGTGCAATTAATTCGCGCATCAGAGCTGCGTTGTCGACGACGACATATTGTGGTTCGCACATGGAGCCGGAGGGAGATCGAATGTTGGGGGTGGTGAGTGGAGAACAGTCTTCTTCTTCAAAGACCGATGTGTATAGTCCGCAAGAAAGCTCTTCGTCGCTGAAAGCAGAAGAGGTGTATGAGTAGTTTTGTGACTGAGAATCCAGGGCGTCGGTGCTGTTCATGGATGAGCGGCGCGGCCAGGAGGGAAAGGCACATGAGGGGGATTGGGGACGTGAGCTGGAGGAAGAGGGGATTTCCATGGCGGAGGTGGAGTAGCTGGTTGAGGGTGGAGATGGTGTGTAGGAGAAATACATCTTGGTTGGTTGTATTGTATTGTAATGTATTGTATTCGTGTAGATGTATGTATGTAAAGAATAATCTTGTTGTTCAAAAATCCACAAGGCAAATAAGTTCGATGAATGAGAAAATCCGGGGTCGTGTCCACATATAAGTATTATTCGAAACGAATACTACACGGCGTAAATTATTACTCAGAAACTCAGACCGAGTCAGTTCGGAGCCTAGGCTAGCACACTTGAATCTTCTCTCCCAAAAAGAATCTCGGTATCGCGTTACGGTGCAATCAATGACTCGTCTGGGCGTGTAACGATAAGTCTTGCGTCAGCCCTGCAGAGTTTCGTATCGATATGCGATAATGGATGGATGGATGGATGGATGGATGGATTGGATGGCAAAAAGTTGCAACTCGGTAGTTTACTCAGCCCCAGGATTTGGATTTGGATTTGGATTTGGATTTGGATTTGAAGAAATAATGGTCAAACTCCGCTTATATATAAATATAGTCCGGAGTAAGTCGGGGTCTGGAGAAATAGCCTTGTGGGATGGAAACGTGGTAATCGTATGGGAAGTAATCGAGGGATGATAACAGTATGAGATTTGATGAGGTCAGAATGAGTAAAGTAAGTTGTTTTGGAAAGAGGCGGATAAATCAAGATGTTAATATAACTTTTTGAATTGAGAATTCGGATTCGAAATTCGAAAATGATGATTGATTGTTGGATGAAACGAGAATTCCCGTTATTATATTAATATCAGATTTTGTTTGCTCATTTATTTTGTTGTGTTTTGTTGTATATGCAGAGGAGTTAGGTTTACTTTCTTCCTTTTCTGTTGTGTTGTTGTGCATGCGTTGGGATCTCTTTGAAAATAATTGAATGTAAGGTTGTAAGGTTATGTAGGTACAGACAGCGAGCGTACAACACTAAATAAATGAAATATCTGTAAGTCAAACGCAAAGAGTTACTTTGAAATGAATCATATATGACAGACCCCTCCCGGAAGCAAGGCCTGAGTCGCGAAACGAACATTGACTTGCATTTGAATTTTCATTCTTACCCTTGCTTACTTTCTAAAACATTTATTATATATGTTTCTAGGGAATTCCCCATGCGTGCGCCGTGCGGTGTAGCGGGAAAATGGATCTGTGGCTTTTTAGTACTTTCCGGAAGGCAGAAACACGTTGCAAATGTTACCCGTCTGTCTGTTGAAAGAATTTTTTTTAAAGCGGTGACTCAAGGTGAATGAATGGATAGGGTATTAGGGCGCGACTGGGCTGGACTTACTGACTGACAACTTTAGATATGCAAAGGGGAATTAGAATTAGCCCTACTGTAGGATTTATATCCATAACTTTGCCGGTTTCGTTGGTGCGGTTACATATTCGGTTCGCCTTACCAGGTATATTAGATTTATTTCTACCACTACTAGATCACGAACTAGAAACTAGAAGGAAGTTGAAGCATGTGCGCGGGGTTATATGAAGGAGAAAGGGCCTTTTGGTAGGCAATATGGGGGGGCATTTCACAGAGCATTCTTGTTATCTATAAACAAAAAAACAAGGGAGAAGATGATCAAGAAACCATATCTAGAAGTTTTGGGTTCGAGTAATAAGAAGCCTAAACTAAAACTATATCTTTTATATCCATTTTCGCTTCCCGATTGTAACCTTACCTTTTCATCACGAAATAATCCCATCCATTCTATTAAAATACTGGTATGTCTAAAACAAAACCTTTGATCCTTATCTGGAAGTAATTTATTCTTTCAAAAACTCAACAAATAATAATAATTGATTGATTGATTGATCTGCCCATCAAAGTCAAGTCAAATCTCCCACCGGAATAATATTAACTATTTGCCTAGAAGATCCAACCTCATTCAGTCATATCAAGGGGTGTGACGGTGAAGCATTTCAGCATCCGCTACCCCACGCCCAAAGAGTACAAACCAATCGGAAGTACTCTTTCATAACCTATTTCGCTATACTCGCGTCAACCAACGTCTTTCACCGCTCTATTTTATTATTATTGATCTACCTTGCCTTGCATATCGTAATAATGCTTTCGTACCCGTTCCAAATTCCCATTTCGATCATTTCGTGTAACCTTAATTCGAATTCTGCATTTTTTGATCCGCCCGCCTTCCCCCTTCTACAAAACTCGAATTAAATCACGGATTCTCAGGGTCTCGGATGTGTGATGAGACTTGATTTGATACCTTGATACCTTGATACCGGATAATCTCCATAATCTCATCTCCAGCTGACTCAAGCAGGTCAAGAATCAAAACATTGTACAGGATATGAATATCATCGGCGTTTTCAGCATGTATCTAATCTCACTCATTACGGAAACAAAGGTAAATGAAGCCGGGTCAGCTTCTTCCTGCACTTTTCCATTTCTATACTATACCATATATCATCCGGGTTCCTATCCATCCATCCGTCCCATCCATTCCATCCATCCTATACCTCATCTCATTTCGTCTGTATGCCAGATTCCGTAAGGCGAGCGGCGGTAGTCTGCCTTCCGCACATAGAACGGTCCGACCGGTTACGGACGGGTAAGTGCTTTGACGAGTGCGAACGAACGCCTTTTTTTTGGCTTTGGTTAGGAAATCTAAAATCTGACTCGTATTATCGCAAACATTACCTACACTTGAAATAAATGATACACAAATCTAGATTTCAAGTTTTGCCTTTTCGGAGCTTTTCGGGGAATAGGATAGGATTTTCTTGTAGCTATCTGTGTTTTTTTCTAGTTTCTTTTTCTAGGGGTCTATATATTAGCCATATGAACGGTCGGATGAAAAGTGCACAGGCATAGGTAGGTAGGTGTACTCGAGTACTCGAGTCTCGAGTAGGTTTGCTGTTTGCTTTGGATATGCGTGAATGCTGTAGAGTGAAGGTAAGGTCTGCTGTCTGCTGGCAGTGGCAGAATCAAAAGTAAACAACACATATGATCACATCCCATCCTTTGAGTATGCCGTCTCAGATTCGTTTAGGATGCGTACTGTACCCCCATATCTACTCCATATATCGCGAAGAAAGCCAGACAGGATAGGATAGCCACATGAATCTAGATCTTGTGATGATATTGACCTCGAGACTCGAGTTGGTTTCCTCGAGTCTTGAAAAAAAAAAAGAAAAAGCCCGAGTTCAAGTTGCATCACCGGTGAATGTACTTATGTACTGCACATGCTGCACATGTAAGAAATAATCCCCGATGATATTGATGGGGTCCCCCTCCAATAATGAATAAGGAGGATGAGGAGGATAAAGAGGATAAGGATATGGATAACGGATAAATAAGCCTTATCTATCAATTGCGATAACCTCCGCCAAGCTTGCTTATCCACATCTTTCTTCTAGAATAGATTTCCAATTTCTTGATTTAAAACACCTCACGAATAAGAAACCCGCGATATAACTCAGGTCTTCCAAGTTTGGAATGTAAATAATACAGGTTACAGGTACTCGTACAACACATAAAACTTCTGCCTAGTACTACTAAAGACTAATAATAAATCATAAATCATCAATCAGCAAATCGCATACGTCTTCTTACGAACATGCCCCCAATAGGATCTCTATACTCGTAAACTATCATCAATATCAAAATGTAACGTTGATGTTGCGTTGCGGCGGTTGGGATTGGGGCAAGAGACGGTGAAGGACAAACAAAACAAGACAAGTCTTGCTTGGGATTGATTACTTACTCGAGTCCATCCCAAATTTCATATGTGTGTGTGAATTGAGGTGAGATGGCTACTTTTCCTATTCGTCGGCGATGTACCGAGTAGGAATCTGGGGTTACATACATATAATATCAAGGCTTTTGTGAAAGGGATAAGGAGAGGAGAAGGAGTCTGATCTCCAAATGTATGAGAACGAGTTATTGATTGGTTCTAATGCTTGGATCTCATCTCATCTTATCTAAAGCCCTATCATATATTGGACTCCATCACAGTCGCATCGCCATTTCGTATAACGAATATCGTGGTTATACTACTCGTATACTGTAGATATCATATTCCATTCATAGCTTTCCGAAGTTCAAGTGAGAATCCCCAAAAATACTCATTACTATCATCACACAGTTCTACGGAGCATCCATTCTACTCCGATGAGTTTGAACGAATTGTGAATACCTAGTACATACATATTGCCTCTCTGATGATGAAGTCATGTCGTACAAGTATCGTCATCTCATTTCATTCCGTCTCATCTCATCATCATCATCATCATCATCATAACCAGTCATCCCCATATTCATCCCCATATCTATATCCACATCCAATAACTCAAATGTACTTGGTGACAGACAATATTCACAACTCTTCACCCACCAGCCAAAGGTGGCACTGTGACACTCCAACTTCATACCTTCGTGCGGCTTTGTATGCTTCATTTGTGGTAACGACTACAACGACTACAGTATTCGTGATGACTCACATTCATATCACAAAACACCACACAAAACACCACGCAAAACACCACACACAACACAACATGACCTCAAATTGCCTCAAAAGTTCAAAGCTCAAATTTCAAACCCAACCCAGACGTTGTGGTTTCGTACTACCGCCGGTAGGTTGACAAACCTTACGGAGTACAGTAAGGTTAACTCGCCGACGTTAACGTTGACGAATACTCTCCTTACCTTACTGACCTATTCATCCCATCCCACTCCATCCCACTCCATCCCATCCACCACATATGATCAGATTGGAAATCAAAAGTCGCCTCGAAATCCCATCTCATCCCATGCTATCCTATCCTATCCCATCCCATGCCATACAATCCCATCCTCGCCGAGAAGTATGTCTTGCTTAAGCTTGCCCTAACCTACTACTCGTACAGTCCTACCAACTACTCGACTATACTACTACGACTCCTCGAGTACTACTGCATAATCAAAGGTTGTAGCTCCAGAACTTTCCTCCCGTTCCTGTAGGTAGCGAAACCAAACCAACATCTATCTTTTCAACTCCATCTCCATCTCCACCCAAAATC